TGAGTATATTCGTTCCTTTTCTTGTGGGCACACGTTGTATATTATAATACCCTCATCACAATTGCGCATTGTATTACCAGAGTTACCTATAGGCCACATCCGCATAGTCTTTCCACACACTGTCCATGTATATATATAGATAGATAGGTACCTATCAGAGTACGTCTGTTTTGTGTTTACACCCTTTCGGCGATGACCCGGCCCGAGCTATCCGCGTTGTCCAGCTGCCGCTGCCGTCCTAAACAATAATATTATAATATTATTATTATGCGTATAATGTGGGCATAGATCGTTTCTCGACACTGGCAACTGCTTTTTAACATAAAAAATGTTGAGAGCGGGACCGCAGGGTGAATCCCAAAAGTCTATAATTTACTAATATTATAGAGAATGTAATACTGCAGGATACGATTCTGTTGCGAAGGTAAAATCTTCTTATATATTTTTTTTATCGGAAATAATTACTGTTTTAGGAAATACATTTGTTCAACATTATTTTAAGTCATTAAAATTCGTAAGTGAGGAAAAAAAGCCCACGGGAATAAATGTCCATGCGAGTGCAGTACAATTGTACTATTTTATATTTTTAAAATATTTCGTTGATTATTATTCTAAAAAGTATAATACAATGATACTTATTAGTTTATAATATAGATAAAAGATAATAATCATAAATTATAATAATGACTTTAATAACCTAGTAGCTGATGTTACTAAGATGAATAATTTTAAAAAAATAGTATGTCCATTGGTATATGTACTAGCTGTGTATCCTTTGCCCTTGCGTTGAACATAAGTAACGAACTAATATCATACGAGTTCTATGGCCTGTTTAGTATTGACTTATTGTATAACATATTATTATTTTTATACTTGTGTAATTTTTGTATAAAAGGGCCAAGACTGATGTTTTTTTTTACTTTATAGATTCTATAATTCTATATATTATATCATTAACTAATAACTACCTCCTAATGACTCAATATAAAACAATTTACAGTTATAAATTATAACTTATATTTTATAACACAATATATTATTGTGTATACATATTTATGTTTATGTTTACATCTAAATTTTTTTCAGTAGTTCTTTATAGTTTTTTCCTGCTATTCCATTACAATGTACCTATACATATAACGTATATATATTTATTATTTATATAGGTACTTACTTTTATATCGTTATAAATGTATAAGTTTTTACTTTTTTTATTTAATGATAGCAATACCGCATTATTTCACATGTTTCGATATTTCAAAGAGAAATATTTTTCTTAGAATTTCGAAAAATATAATTTGAGTTATGATAGTTAACTAGTATCTATACTTACTTACCTATAGGTACGTTTAGATGAGTAGTGCACCAATATTTGATAGGTGTCCTTGGGGCTCTGGGCTTGCGATGTGTTTAAAAATGCAAAAATCATAAACTTAGCTAAGTTTTAGTTTTCGGTTAGAACTTATATAAGTACTATAAATTGGATTTATACTGACATTTTTTAGTCGTGAAGACTTCGTTCATTTGATCGCATATTAAACTTTCAATGTCTTAAGTCTTAACCCAAGTTTCCAATACCCCGTGAACCGTGTTCCGTGCAATTTGCGTAGATATATCTTGATTGGATGAACCACGTTATTTACATGCTTAACATTTTTTTGTTAGTACGTCCTAAAGACTATTAATAACTTACATTTTTTGACCATTTATGTTTTTCTATGTTATCTTAACTTAATAAGCTAAAAAAACAATTAACTTGCACAGTGTGAATTTTATTCATAACATGTATAAAGTGACTGCTCATCACTGCCATTAGATTTCATTGCAGCAAAAACTATCGTCACCTAAGCAATGACCAAAATTTTCAATCAACTTCAACGTAATGTTTTCTCTCCACATACTATATAAGTGTATCGCACATTCTATAGGTTTATCATGATAATGTTTAATGTTTATGTTAGACATTAATTGTATGTTTTATTTTAATGTATTTTTTTTTGTGTTCTTCGTTTTTATGCTAAACTGTGAATCAAAATATTGTTAATTTGTATGTTAATGTCCCTATTTCATGTGATTGATTATATCAAGCCCTATGAACAAAATCAATTTTCGCCACTGGAAGCTCAGAAATTGAAAATGGGTGGTATGGTTCAATTCTCAAGCAACCTCAATCTTTGTTAATAAATACTGAAAAGAATTCAAAACAGAATATTAATATGAATTTTGTTCAACAAGATACAATATCGAATGAAGTTATAATTGAAGAAAATGATAACATGGAAACCAATGCAAGTGAAACTGTTGGCGATGGTCTAGAAATATTTGATGAGATGGTACAAAAAATGAGAGATGTCATAAAATCAGATGAAAGCTACTTCACACCTGGTATTAAAGCAATGAGTAATTCATTCAAGAAAAATGTAAAGACTCATGCTAGTCTTCTTTCTGCTATGATGACATTTGGTAAATATTCTGGTCTTGATCCAACTTCCAAGACACTTAAATTAGTTGGAAACAAGCGCATTGGTACACAACCTACAGCTAGATCCAGGCGTAAAACTGCCATTAAAGGAAGAAAAAATTTAGCTGCAGGAAGGGTCCCCAAGTGGAAACGCATTCCAGAACACAGTTATGGGAGCCAACCTAATTCTAGTGTTCTGCCACATATTCCAAAATCATTTAATTCTGAAAGTGTTCATCTGAAACCACAAAAAATGCCACACAATTTATCTTATTGTGTTGAACAGAATAAAAGACTAGGAGCAACACATAATGCTAAATAAACTTATATATCTAATATTATTAATTTCTGACTATTATAAATTGGCTTTGGCACATCAAGATATTATACAAAGTATTATTGATTATAATATCATTTTTATTTTTATTATTTTTTACTTATACTTTTTATTGATGTTTTGAATTATTAATTATTAATTTCAATGAAACAAAATAGACAAACTACTGTTTAATATTTTATGCAGTAACATAATATAATTATAATTTATTATACAGAACAATTGTATACTTGAATGGTTGAATGAACTGAATAAACATATTTATTATTTTTTACACTGAGCAAAATTTAAATTCAAATGCAAAAATTACCATAATTGAAATATGTTATCAATATTAACTTGTTATCACTTATCATATATTTGATATCTGATGGTCGGATGGTTGAATGCGCCGTGACACGTTTTAAAATTTCGCGTACGGTGTATTGGAAACTCGGCTTTACACTCGATAAGTTTAAAACTTTTAATATTTTTATTTACCTACTAACATAATTTAAAATTATCCGTTACTTAGGTATAATAATTATAATGTCGCCTTTGAAAAAATGGCACTCAGGGTGATCGCTCCCTCCTCACAACTAAATATAGTGTAGGTATTTTATTTATATGTTTACACGAAATATTCCTGCCCGGTGACGACTGACCACTGATTGGGATGTGGATTTCGTTGAAGTCCTTTCTCCGAGTAAGAACGTTTCGATAGATTCAAAGGACATAGTATACATCATATAATAATATTCATTTATTATATTATGATATTATTATAAATTATATTATACGACTTTTCTAGTTTTCTCGTATTATTCTACGGACTAACCGGTTTTACGTGTCCTATTTGTCTTAAAAAAGACTGGATTTTTGGTTTGTTTTTCACTGCCTTTCAACTCAAGTATTATATTATAATATTAATAAATTGACTATATTTGCGTGTGATGGAGGGGGTGAGGGAGCACACCCATGCATTCCACACGTTTATATGCACATCATAATTGTGCAACGGAGCGCATTGTGTGTTCAACCGGTTCGAGGAAAGTGAGGAAACGAAAATCGTAATTCAAATCTTTGCGACACGTGTAATATATTGTATAACAAACTTCAAACCCTTATAAAAAATTATTTTTAAAACAAACAAGTAAAAGTCCAAATTGCCTTATGCATATTTATAGTCTTAGTATTTTTTAAATTCTATAGCAATATATAGTACATATTATAAACATTTAGTAAAAATATCATGTATCAAAGTTATTTTTTTTAGAGTTACACCAAAAAGCAAAATCGAATTTGTCAAAATAAATGGTTTTTCATAAATTTATTTTTTTTTTAACGATTTTGAAAACTAGTTTTTACTTTTGACTCCCCCTAAGTACTAAATGTCTAAATAGATTCATTTTCATACCTGAAAAGATGAAAAAAATCGAGGCATTTTTACTGCCCCAAAGGGCGATGACACAACACAAATTACAAATCATTATTGTAAAATCAATTTATTCATTGCTCTGACTAAAATCTAAAACAACCTTAAGCCAACATATTGCTGTACTATTATATAATGATTAATACTGTAGCTTCTAATAAAATATATAAGAAATATTACTAAAAAAGCGCTTGACAGCCAATAGACAATTCTAGATGGTAACCTGTCAGCTGTCAGTGTACCACGTTACTTACATCGTTTATCATGTAACTATGTCACCTTTAATTGCAGTAAAGACCTTCAAACTTTAACTTTGAAGGTGGTTTCTAGTATAGCTCTGAAGAAACCAAAAATAAATTTGTTTCTATCATTGATGTATCGGACTGAAAGCAATTTGAATCCTCACTATTAGATAAAAGAATTATTTTATTCATAATTGCATAGTTTTTTTATAATATATTAATCTACACATTTCTTTCACATGAAAAATATGACTGATCAAGTCCATTAATGAGAAAAATTTAAACTAATTTTCCATTTATAATCAGTCAACTATCTTCTTTCTAATTACATTTCATTTTAAATTAATGAACAACAAACAAGTTTCAAATTGGCCGTTACACAAGTTAATCAATTATTCCCCCAAAATTGAATTTTTTTTCTCATAAATTGTTAATGAAAAACTAAAATATATAAAAACAGCAATCAAATAAGAAAATATTAAAAAAACATTATATTTTCAAAAGAACACAATATTTGAGGCAATATAAAATATGGAATTGTGTGAGTAAATTATAATTAATATTTTAATTACAAAACAGAAACTTTATAGTCTAAGACAATTTAACATTAAAAGTTTTAATTATGTAGACGATGCGCTGTTATCTTGTACTTCCATTGAGTCATCATGTTTATCTTCTTCATTTTCAGCATCTGTCAAACATAAAAATATACTTTTAATTAAGGGTACATGGGTTGTATGCACATATGTAATAAATCTAAATATCCTATGCCAATTATTAACATATTATTGCTAACTAATACATTAGACCAGGGGATGTCAACCATTTGTCATATTAATTTTCTGTGAACTGTGTAATAAATGTACATTTATAAAAATAAACATAATCTATACAAATAATATTGTGCTCGTTATCTGAGTGTGAATGAAATATTCAATACTGGTATTTTTATGCTTAATTTTGTGCAGTATAATATTATGTCATGATAATATGATCATAAACATGATAATGTTTAATTTTAAGTTAACTGTACATTTTATAATTATTATTTTTTAAACGGTTTGTCTCATTTGAATATAATAATAGTTTAAGTAATTACTGATAAAAATGTTGATATTTAAGCTATTGATTAATTTTGATATCACTGTAAAAAAAGAATTAATAACCATCTATCAATCTAAATTAAATTAATGTTAGTTTAGTACAGCACTTGAAAACATTTATCAATGTAAAAAAATTTACATCAGACATCTGCATTACACTATAACAATAACTCTTACACTAACCTGTTATTGCATAATGATCAAACATATATTCTTTTTGATATTCTTTCATAAGCTGAGTTGAACGTTCTTCATCCAAAAACAGTCTGTATACCTTTTTAACATCATCTACAGTCACTTCAGTCGCTTTACGTTTTCGGCATACTAAGTGGGCAGTTGTTATCAATTGAATGCCGTATCGCAGCGAAGTTGATTTACTGATCTTAGCTAAAATGGACAGGGCATCTTTGGATATTTCACAGTCTTCTTCTTCAGCCCTAATATATTTTATCAAAGCAACAATTAGTTTCATTGCAATAAAAATAATAGCTATTATATTTAAGCTACAAATGATTGATAAATACCTAATTTTTAAGATTTGCTCTAATTCATTTTCAGAATAGGGTTGGGTCATAATAATGACCATGCGGTCAAGTAAATCAAGTGGTACACCATGAGGTGATTTATAGTTTGTTCCTCGAATGTTTGTCACTCCACGGTTGGTGGCTGTTATTACAATTGGTGCAATTTCATTTTCTAATGCTCTATTCAGGAATGAAAAACATTCTATGTCTAACATGTGCACCTAAAATGAGATACATTAATATTTAACATGAAACACTCTGCCAGTAGTATCAATAATAATAAATAATAATCATAATTACTTCATCAATGAAAAGAACACCTGCTAATAATTCAGCTTTTCCCTCTTCACGCCATTCGCTAACTTTACAGTTAATTTGGTCTCTAACTTCTGACTTTATTTCACCCGTGTCACCTACAAACAAAAAAATAGCAAAAACAATTAATTATAATACTAAAATAATACTATAATTAATGAATTTTAGTTTTTTTTAGAGCAAGATCTTAACATATACTATCTAAAAATAATGTTCATTTTTTTTTAAAATGTTGAACATTTTAAAAGGAGCACTCAGTATTTAATGTTAATTATAAAAGCATTGGTTGCTAAATTTTTTAACACTCAATGATCAGCGAAAGTACTCAGCACTAAAAGCTTTGGTTAATAGTTATTCCTAAGAAAAGAATAGAATTAACATTTAGGCCCTAAATAAATGGTTTAATGCTAATATTTAAATATTTGATTTATAATATGAAGGAACAGCTAACACTAAATAATAATTAAATTATGTAGGAGTGACTACTCATCATTAATGGTAAAAATAATTGCAAGATAAACTCAACATATCAGGTATACTTTAATTTGAATATTTTGTTAAGTTCAAGCATATCAATGGCGATTAAGAAAAGCGTATCCAGCTACAAAAATAACATTGTTCTAGGAGATCTATATCAAGTTTTCTCAGATTGGTTAGAATTGACTAGTAGTGTATGGTGATCTGAGGGGAGTTTACTGCAGAATATACTGATAAATGAACCAAATGGTAATTGCCCTAGAGTTGGACCCTAGAAATGACAGCAAGATGAATGAAGATATTATAAGAATGGTAACAGACAGTGAAACTTGATATTAAAACCTATAACAATGGACAATAAAAAAAATAGAGAAACTTTGTAGAAACTGGAAATCTTAATGGCCAGTAAAGCAAAAACCAAAATTGTACACAGTTAACACTGAGAAATTCTCAAACTGTGATCAGCGAACCCCTAGGGTTCCGTAAGAGTAATATAAGGACTCTGTGAACATAATATCTGAATTGAATTAAAATGAAATAATATTAGGCTTATCATGTTTATTTTAATAATAATAATCTGCATATTATTTTGATTCCTAGCCAAAAAAGATAATAGTTGCGAGTTTGATGAATTGTTTTAATTGTTTATGATTATATTATGAAAAACCAAATTAATAAGCAAATCATTCATGTGGCATTGTTTTATGAATTGTGAATATTTTATAGCATTCCTAATTTATATGGCTCTGTAGAATTTTCTCAGCAACATAAATGCCCCACAAACAAAAAAGTTTGAGAACCACTGAGTTAACAGATACCTGTTAAAAATAAAATAAAAAAAATATATCCGAAGAAAAAACTGCAAATGATTTATAAAATTATACTCATTTCAATACACATGGAATAACTAATGATATTTTATTATACCTGAAAATAAAGCGAGAAAACCATGTGTCCTAGAATTAATCACATCAATTTCATGTAACGTAACTGTATGTACAACTTCTTTGCGTTTTTGAAGTTCGCCTTCTGGACACTGCACAAATCTAATCATAATTTGTTTGTTAGTATCATTCATTTAGTTAAAAGAAAAAACTGATATGACACAAATGTAATGGTATAAATTTACAAATTATACTGATTAACTTACCTAGTTTGTGGGCCAGATGCATCATAATCTCTTGATCTAGTAAATGACCGTCCAATTTTGTTAACTTTGCCACTGGCAACATCAATAGTCACAACGTCTCCGGCCAAAACCTTGCCATAAAATTAATTAATTAATTTCAAAAACATCAAATAAACAGATTTTAATTACTTTTTCTTTTAACAAAGCTTCAATCATTTTGTTTCCAAGATCATAAACAGTCTCCATGTCAGTAGTTCTCATAGTTAACTTTCCTACTTTAGACCCTGTTCCTGTAACTGGACGCTCTATTTGGAACTCTACTACTTCACCTTCAATAATCTCACTTTCCTCCCTACAAAATATTATGGTTTAAAATGGTGTAACTAAACATTCAAGCAACTGAATACATACTTAATACGAACACCAATTGATTTACGGATGGCTTGAGTCAGTGCTTCTGTTTTGCTCATTTCTAAACTATATATCTCTGAACCAGACATGCAAGTAAACGGTGTATCAGAACCCAAAGCTTGTGCTAATGCCATGGCAATAGCAGTCTTTCCTATGAAAAAGAAACCAAAATATATGTCCAGTTAATGTTAGTACAATAAGTAGTCAGTGAGTATCAAATTACCTGTGCCAGGTTCACCGGCGAGTAGAACAGACCTTCCAGCAATCTTCTCCTCTTTTATCATATCTAATACAACGCCCATGGCCTTGCGAGCTTTCAACTGACCAACCAGCCCCTGTGAAACCTAAAATCAACCAAAATTATCAGACAACATTGAACAGGATACACTTATTATGAAATACAAACATTTCTTGGTTCCCTGTTGTCGTCCAACCCAAGTCCACGTATGTGAGAATGGGCACCGATACGTTCTACACGGGAAATCTCCCGGACTTCTTGCACCTTGGCTACCGCCGCTGCCTGAAATCATAATTATTTGTGGTAATTTATCATAGATAAGTAAACAAAATATCAAAAAACCGCAACAATACTTACGGACATGGTAGTATAGGGAGGTAAACGGATTTGGAACTATCCGCAGATATTTTTTTTAAGTCACTCAAGAGACAAGGAGACACGAGCGGAAAAAGTGTTATGAGCGTTCGTAACTATAGAAAATATTACAAACATCGATCAACCAGAAATCTGATACAAAAATGGCAGAAAAACACAAAATTTGTTTTTTTATTTGGTCACATAAGAACATAACCTACAAATAACGTTCGGCGGGAGAAACATTATCATCAGGCTTGAAGTGACGAACGTTTTTCAGATGTCGATTTCTCATTTCTCAAGTGTCGAATATTTTTCATACAATTTTAATAGGAAGTCCGTTTCGATATCAGACAACGTCGTGTTTACTCTTCGAGATCGTTGATAAAAAAAAAAACACAACTGTCAACGCGATACGTTCGTAAACACTGTCATTAATTGTCAAATATTTTTCGAATATCAGATTAATTCGACTTTGTTTACCCTTGGACAACTTAACACGCGATTCGTAAGGAACACACCGATGACACCTGTGGTCGCATATATCGTGGCCAGATGAGAACGACGGACGTCTTCTTCCCGATCGCGATGAGTTGGACAACGTAAGGTCGATCTTACCCGGGACACCGACTGAGTTACTGAACCCGCTGGTAGACGAAATAATGTCGTACGAACAGACTGCTTGCGACGGTAAAATATGTCATGTCGACTTCTGATTAAACCCTCAAGTCTAAAAGCTTCTCACTCGAATAAAATAGCTCGCCGTTGACTTTTTACTCTTCGACATACTACACCAACCGACCATTGTTTGTATTGTTCATTTGGATACAGTTTCGTGGGCACGGTCAATTGTCAATAATTTTGTACACCAGACACTCGAGTTTTTTTAACATAGAACTGTATGAGCATTCTATTTTCTATAGCAGTGTCATTGTTGGCTAGGCTTACAACAAATATTTTTAATGCTCAATTCCCACTGGGTGGAGATGTTCTGTAAAAGAATGATTCCAAATTAAACAGGAATTCGTAGTTAATTTTATTCCAGTTATATACTATACTAATTTGTATACCTACTTACAAGAGCTTTGCCTAAAATACATTAATAAATTTAATTCTCAATATATTTTTACAATATTTAACATAAATACATATACATTTAATTTATCAGAGTAAAGAACCTTAAATCACCAGAAAATAACACTTAAAAATCTTAATGCATAGATGTTAAAATGTTTAAATAATTTTGTATTTAAAACAATATTATAAAATGCACATACATGTGAACTAAAAATTTGATTAATATATCAAAATAATTGTTATAGATCTTAAAGCTTTTGAGCGGCGACTAACAGAGGTGATTGCTTCCATCAAGCCAATAACTAATCGATGGCGAAGTAAGAACATTTTTTTTCTAAGTATTATGATAATATGTAAATGTAATTTCTTATTTTTTTCAGCAATTTTAGCTATTTCGACATTAAGTGCTTCAATAGGCGCCTATTATTGGTTGACAGATCCTCAAACAGCTAAAGTATCATTTGTTCAATCGCTGTACAATCATTTATTGTTTACCATTTCTTCTATAATGCTTAGTAAGAAAACTTAAGATATTGAAAAATTAACAATGGTGTTTAATTTATTGTTTTAATTGTATTTTAAATAGTGATATTACTCTTAACTGGAGTACACAAAAAAGTTATAGCAACATCAATAATAACGTCACGTGCGAGGCAAGTGCTAGCTGATTTTAATATGTCTTGTGATGATTCTGGAAAACTAATACTTAGGCCAAGGCCTCAACAAAATACATGATGATAAATTCACAATAACATGATGTTCTATTTATTTTGTTTTTACTCTGTCAGTATAAGCGTTACATAATAATTGTTTATGAATGACAAGACACCCTACTGTAACGAGTAAAATCTATCATTTTGAATTTTAATGTATCTAATATACAATGTGCTTAAATTTGGGTGTTACTGTTACTAAACAGGTTTGTATTTGATGTGTTTCATGGTTATATACATAATATAATAAATATTTAAATATTATGTATTATTAATAAACTGATATAGATATTCATTATATGAATTTAATGCATTTGTTTTCTTAATCTGAAATAGAAAGTATTTAAAACATACTTATCAAAAAATCTACTTAGGTCAGAAGTTCCTAATATTCTGTGGCACACAGACGACAGACCCATTTAAAAATAATCTCTGAAGCCACGCCCCCCCCCCCAAATGTATGTGCCAAAATGTTGAATTATTTTCATTCCTTTATTTATATTTTTTCCAATTATTTTGAATAATTATAGGAATTTTCATTTTTATCCTCACTAAACAACTAACTCCTATTAGAGGCCACTCGCATAGTAGAAGTTCACAACATTGTATGCACCATATACCTCGTATACAAAAGAAAAAAACATTGTAAAATCAATACATTCATTCCTCTATCCAGATCTAAGAGTATAAATAAATCTTATTTTGTAATTTAATCATAATTTATTTACCATTAACTTTACCTGCTATATGAATGTTAACTTTTTTCACTATTGATTATTTTCTTACAAACTTAACTTGTTTACATTCTAAACCCGAATCCTTAACATATTGTATTTGAATATAACTTAATGAACATTTTTATATCTAATTATACTCTGTCCAGCGAGAGAATACTCTACTTTTGTGCATCCTTCCACATCATCTCGCCAATAAAACCGGTTCACCTATGATATGGTAACACGTGGGTGGGAGGGATCAGATTTGGTCAGTGAGCGGCACATTCTCTCGCTGGACAGAGTATAAACAAATAATTGATGACTTGATTTCATAGTTAATAGTTTAATACTGCATTATATAACATATAGATAAATCTGATATTAATGTTATTTATAATAATTAGGGAGCAGATTTTGAGGTACTTGAAAGTTTAAAATATTTTCTAAGTATTCCATTAAAAAAATTCACATCAATGTGCTAAGTGTTTTTTGGATTGAATCACTCTTTTACTAAATTTAACGACTAAACAATGTTATAATGTTAATACTTAATAATAACTATATATGTATATTTTTTTGGATTGAACTTAGTTAAAATATTAGTTAATAAAATATAACTTTTAGTCAAACATTATAATTGTCAAAGTTTGGACCAGATCAACCAAGATAAATTTAATGACGTCATACTTGGTTATTAGAATATGCTATAAATAAAAAAGTGTGTAGCCTTAAAAGATATATTATACTATATGAATAGGTAAATATTATTTATTTTCATGCACATCAGACATTATTAAACGAGATCAAAGTTATATTTTTTATTACCAGTTTTACACATAAGATTGTCAACTGTTAAACTACGAGAAGTGTCAACTTCTATTTCTAATTCTAATGATTTTAATTTAGTCCTTAGCTGACTAGATTGATCGCCCAAACACCAAGCAACACTCAAATGAAATTGTCGATCCTTGAACAAAAATTAACAGTTTAATTAAATAAAAACATATTATATACATATTATATACTATATATTATAAAAACTAAAAAGTATTGTTTAAGTATGTGGACAGCCAGATAAACCACTTAATCTCTTTTATTAATATTATTTAAAAAGTTAATATTAATATTAAATAGTGAGAAAAAGAAAATTTATCATTGAGTGCATGAATATTGAAGAAAAATCAAAACGAGCAATAACTTTAAAAATTGGTAACTGTGAGTAACATATTGTAATTTTTAAAATAAGCTAAAAAAACAGTTTAAAAAAAAACTTATTGATTGTGTCTCTTTATTTTGGTTATTGTGCTTTTATTATAATTAGGTGCTATTTTTTCTTTCTATATACTCACTTCATAATATTTTGGCAAATTATAGTCAGACAAGACATTGTCAAGTTGATCAACACATTGAGATAAAACTTCTGCAGGATGTGCAAGAAAACCAATAAATGTCCTACTACTATTTTCATTACAAAATACCTCTAAGTTTCCAAAAGTGACTGTAAATCTAAAAAAAATGTTATTCACATGTTAAAATTGCATCAAAAATAAATCATTAATGTTATATTGGAAAATAGGTATATGAAAACCTTAAAATTGTTGACAATTTGGATTTCACATCATTGATAAATCGTTGTATCCAATGATACTGAAGTACAACTGTTTTCGTAAGGCTGATGTGGGGATGTTTAATAATTTCTAGGCCAAATTCGGTCAATTTATCTTGAACAATCTCCACTAAATCCATGTCTGGACCTTTAAACAAAATATATAAGGTACGTAATTATTAGAAACGACTCAAGAACTACTCAACAGTAGATACAAGATATAAAACTACAGACTCACAAGGTACATAAACGTAAGTAGCCCAATTACCACGTTCATGTTCAAACAACCGAGCACGTCCTTGGTGGGAATCAGGTTCATCTTTTGGCTTTGGATGATAGAGTCTACCGTCAAACATTAAGGCAATGGCTTCAGGTACTGGTAACACTTTTTGAACAGGTTCACTAAGGTGTAAAACAACAATTGTCTATACTCAATTATTATCATCAACCAAAATTTTTAGTCTGTAACGCCCAAGTCACAGGCACAATAATAAAATAAGGATAGTTTAATTATAATACCACAGATTAAGTTAAACTTAAAATAAAGACACATATTATCTGTTTCATTTAATTTCAAATCAGTGAGAATATTACTATATAATATTATTAATATAGTTACTCATGCTCGCCATCGCTTTCCCCGCTGTCTCCACTGTAACACTTTATTAGGTCCATCATATAATCGGGTGGAGAATATAATAATATTCGACGCCAATAATAATATATTGGTAGGTATTATGATAAATTCACCGTCGTTTGTCGAAATACTTGTCAAATCTCTCGTCGACAATGAATTGTAACAACAGTAAATCTTAGACATTTAAAAATATCAACATAATACATACTGTAAATGATTTACATTAACTTTTATGACTTATTAGATCAAAAGATTTTGAAAACGACCAAAAGTTCCAATACGGAACATTTTCAAAAAATCCAAACTGAAAAATCGTTATCATGCGGCGATTCAATCTGTGATTGTCACTGAGGTAGATAAGAATATACCACGGCCACGGATTAATACAGTACCATCTCAAATCGTGACCACGGCTATTTACCTCAGGTATATTAGTCCATGCTGATAGCGCAAGCCGCGACTGGAAAATTGGGTAAATAGTAATATCATGAAATTCAAATCAAACCGCCCGAAATCGGTGTCATTACTTATTACTCAGATTAGTCATTACATATTTTTTAAGTGAAATTGATATTAACAAATTCGGGTTTATCTACACTTTTGGACAGGTAAAATATTTTTATTTTAATATTGTGGTTGTCGGTTTAGTTATCTACAGACTACAATGTCAAGGTAAAAAATATTAGTATACATTTTTATCCTAGGTAGCGTATGTGTTTCATTTCGTCAAATGGACAGACTTGTCAATACAATGTCTACGGAAAAGGCACATTTTCAAAAAGCATTCAGCACATTAAAACCGGCCTGTGACGCTTTCATAACTGAACCCAATGATGTAAACACCAAGCTCTTAAAGAATGCATTGTTAATGGTTCCAGAATATGCTCTTACACAACTTCAGCCGTACGTTCTAATCCCACTGGAAATTCATTTAAAAACCAACAAGTGCGTATGATTATATTCTATTTGAGTCTGTTTCAATTAAAAGATCACGCACAATATGTTTTCTAGATCTAACTGTACGTTAAATGTGTTGGATGTGCTGACAACTTTGTTGAAAAAAACATCTATTAGTTTGTGGCCTACGTTTATGCGAATATATAAAATGTTGGTAGAAAAGTTGTCTGTTGAAAAAAAACCAGATATAGGTTTGTATGAATTTTTTACATGTGTATTAATTTGTTAATTGTTATTAGTCAATTATATTATAGCGATGAATTTGAATGAAGATATCAAACTGTCAATCATTATTGCTCTTAACTTATTGGTTGAAAAAGCTGATATTGTTGTATTGAATCAAATGTATAGTGAAGCAGATTGCAAACATGTTGGATATTTGATATACTTATGCACAACAGTTATAAAAAAGGAAAAAATGAATACTCTTAGGTTTGTACGTTTAATTATACATAAACTAAAAATGTATTGAATGCATTTATATAATAGCCTAATAATTTATTCTGATAGTCTAGTTCAGAGATGGCGAACCTATGACATGCTTGTCACTCTATGACACGTGCACACTATTTTAGTGATACACACAAATGTGTAAAAGTTTGATAATATTAAAGTTTTTGAAAAAAAATTGAAGGGTCATTGAACTAGTTGACACTCAGGGAAAACAAAATCCAACCAAAATTTTTATTTGACACGCTGGTACAAAAAGGTTCGCCATTCCTGGTCTAGTTCAATAAAGTAAGATACATATTTATGATCTGTCTGTTTGTAAATATTAATATTAATAAATGTAACTAACATCTGAATTATTATCTTAGATATAACTTGTAATTTTATTAACAATATTAAAACTAATAAAAGTATATATGTAACTACTTATTGGCTTAATTTTGATTTAAAATAAATTGTTTTTAGATATCCTGATTAAATCTTTTGTAAATGTATTAACTAAGTTACTTATTTTTTTAAATTTTATAGAGTGGAAGCCTTAAAATGCATTGGATTGCTATCATCTATTTGGGATAAAAACATTGATTCTAATAGTCGTTTTCAAATTATTCAAAGATTAATTAAATTTGTACCGGGTGTTTTGTCTGTTAGTAGTATCATAGTTAATGCTACAGATATCCAGCACCATTCAATAACGGTGGTAAGATAATTACCATAAGTTAACTTCTCTCAGTATTCTATATATCTTATAAATATTTTCAAGGCTGCTTTAAATTTGTGGAGTACAATTACTTCTCTAATAATTTGTGACGATCATGTGATAGAAGATTGCAATCCATATTTAGGAGAATCAATTAGTAGTGTGAAAAAGGATGACAAGAAAATAATAAATGATTGGATTCAGGAAAACCGTACAAATTTTAATCTAGTAGCCACACATATGATTAAAACAAGAGAGCATCAACACTGGAGAGTTAGACTTCAATTGGTTCGTTCTTGTGATGAGCTGCTGAGCAAATGTGCAAGGTAAGCAATAACATAATAAAAAATTTAATCTATTTGTTCAGCATTGACATTTTAATAAATTATTGTCATTCATAGTTTTACTTTTTATAAATTATGTTATTCTGTTCTTATTTCTTTTACTGCTGATTAAACTAAAACAAATTAAACAAGTTTTAAATTTATACCAACAAAAGTGTTGACGTTTTTTTATTCAATAAAAAAATTAGAAAAATCACTACTATAAAACAATCAGCTTTTCCTAGTCTCAGATTTTTTAGCTTGTAAACTTAATAGTATCCATGATATTTTTATTAATTCTTGTGGTATTTTCTTGTGGTCATTATTTATTTTATGTATTTTATTAGTTCTATGAAATCTTCAATAACAAATTTAATTGAGACATTAATTGTTTTGTCCGATGATGAACAACCAGAAGTTGAAAAACTAGCTAATGAGTCTGTGGATAAATTACATAAAATATTTGATGGACAAAATAAGAAGACTCTTTTAGAATTATTAGAGGAAAGTTTTTATATTTTATTATCTAGAATCCCACGGTTTATTAGAACATCCAGTAAGATATTTGCTTCAACATAAACCTTAAACATTGTTCTATAGTTAATTGTTATATTTTTTTTTAGATTATATTAAACAAAAAACCGAATTATCTTTATTGTCTGGATATATAAAACTTTTTGGTAAGACTCATTTATCACGAGTGCTCAATTCATATGTTCATCTAGATCGTTTAACAACAGTCCTAATTCAAATATTAGAGCTAGAATATAAAACAATTACCTTATTAGAAGAATCATCAATTAGAGGTAATTATAATGTGCTGTTTAATCTTGATCATATATTATTAATTAAAATATTTATAGTTTCTTAAATATTATTTCAATATATTTTAAATAAATAGATGGAAGAATTTAAACCAATTTGTTTTGTTTAATCATTGTTAAATGTATTTATAATCAATAGTTTAATACAACTCNGCAGGAAAAAAATCCCCAGACTACAATTTTACTCACAAACACATGCAAATTATTGAACAAATATTATTTTAAATTCTAATATCAGTGTAGTTACCAACATTATTAATATTTAATTACAAATATATACTTATAGTGTAGTTATTATTATTGTATGGTATATAAGTACAAGCAAGCAAATAAAATTAGTAATATTCAGAATAAATACATATATAAAAATAAAAATAAATAAATAATGTGAATGGTTTTTGGTAACTGTGAATTGGTAAAATATAGTGTTGTGTTCTTCTTTAGAGTATAATGTTGAGGATTTTAATCCAATTAATAGCTTTGTCCTTAGCGTAGTGAAGTTCCTGCATTGATCCTTTAAATGCGCGGAGGGGACAGTATAGTGTAGTAATATAAACTTAAAATGTAGAAAATGTTCAATTTGTATACCTAAGGATTGAAAGTTGAAAATATTACATTTCTTGAAATATTTTGACGATAATTATAAATATAATATTATTAGTAGGGGTTTTTATAACTTTTACTTTATATAGATGCAATAAAAAAATTATAAAATTAAAATAACTATCAAACAACAGTTAATGAATGTAGGTATTCAAAGTTCAAAATATAGCATATAAAAATATTTTGAATAATCGATATATGTCAAATAATATAAATAATTACCTTATATTAAGGATTATCATAGGTACATTCTACAATACTACACCGTAAATGACAATAGGTAACATTTGAAGTTCTTAATTCTTATATCAGATATAATATAGGAAAAGTAAAAAAAAAATTATTTTTGAGATTTAATTTTACAGAATTATATATAATATTGCAGTTTAAAAGAAAATATTATTATTATATATATAAAGTATATATTTGTTATTAAATTTTAATAATTATGATAATTAGTATTGTTAAGTACATTAATTATCGTTTAAAGAAATACTTGTTCAATAATTTGCATGTGTTTGTGAGTAATATTGTAGTCTAGGGATTTTTATTCCAATTACCGTGTAATATGCCCAAATGAAATCTGTTAATTTATTATGATTAATTATTCCACATTGCAGTACTTGTTTAAATACTACTACTGCTAATAATGAATCGTGCAAATATTTGTTTTATTTTAATTCCATAAAAATTATATTTAATTGATTATTGTGTTTTTTTTCAATCAGATCTAAATTGCATACAAAATATAACTACTGATATGTTTATAAATGCACCTTGGAAACAACTGATACATTTTAACGATACTTCAGCGTTATATAAGATAGAATGTATTTGTAAATTAATTGGGTTGTATGGTGACTGTAATTTTATTGGTCGATATTTAATGGATTTATTTGAATCAAAAATAATGTATCGAAAAGAGATAACACTATTAATGAATATGATTCTTTCAGAAAGTAGGTATCTATCTTAAATGATATATTTTATTATTTTATTATAATCTTAATAATTATTTTATTTGGTTTTAGACAGTGGAGAGTGTCATTACAGTATTGTGAGGGATGTAATAGATTTGTATTTAGAATGTGATTTTTGGTATTTGCCTACTAGTATTGAAAATGATTCTACAACAAATATAGCTGATGCACAAAAAAATGTTGTACAAATTTGTCTCATGACTGAGGGATTAGCTAAGTTGGTTTCATCACTACCTGTGACTCGACAACATTTGTGCCTAATTCACTGTTTATATCCAATACTAGAACGTGTTGGCTCCGAACATGGCCCTATTTCATTAGCTGGTAATATTTTGATACCTTTTAAACTAACTAGATTATTTACACAATTTTCATACTTAAGGTCAAGGAGCAATAGCATTACTTGCTCATTCTGGAGGATATAGCAATCCAATCGATCTTGTTATAAAAAATTCTGATTATTTATCTCATCATTTCACTAACAAGCTATGGTCACTCAGTAAACATCCTGAAGTATTAAATGCTTTAAAAGTGGTTATGAATCTAAACAACAGTGATGATCTACTACAATCCTTCCACACGATGGTTACTGATGTGAGTTGGACAAATGTTTGTTTCAATAAAGTTTAAATGTTTATTAAATTCCATAATTTAAAGGTCCTTGTTCAGAGTTGTGATGTTCATCGTACAGAAAATATGTATTCTTTTATGAAAGTGTTTCATATATTCGTGATGTGTGTGAGAAAACGGGAACAAAAATGTACATCATTAACTGATTGTGTAGAAAAACCAAAATCTTCAAATAACTGTGTAATAGAAAATATTTTGGGGTATCACAAAATGATGACCTTGGATTTGGAAAATAATTTGGATGATGAATATTGGAAAAATGAAGCCGATAGCAATGCACCATGGTACAATTATTTACATTGTTATTCATTAATAACTCTTAAAATAAGCTTAAAGAATTTTCATTTCAGTGAAAACAGTGAAAACGTTGATGAAGATGATGAAGATAACAAAAAATCATTACCACCATATATTCAAATGGTCCTCTCTATAATGAAACGTGTATTGCATTATTTACCATCAAAACACAATTCTCTTCCTTTACAAGTATTTTATTCATTAATCAATTTATAGATTTTGTGAGATAATGCATATCATTTTTCTTGTAGATTCTAAATGAAGGTCTAAATGTAATATCAAACTATGAAAACCAATTGTTGCCAATGGTTCATAAAATATGGTCACCACTGTGTACTAAATTCAATAACAATACTGATGATATAGTGTTTCGTGAAGCGTTCAACGTGTTGACCACAATGGCATCCACAGCTAAGGATTTTATTCGTTCCCGTTCACTTAAGTAGGTTAGAAAAATAAATACAAAATAAATATTAAAAGGTGATTTTTACAAATTTCTAGGCAAGTTTTGCCAACCATAATAGACCGCTTGGCATCTAGTGCAAAGCAAAGTAATAATATTCTAAAAGGAAGTGTTTACTTAACTAGTCATAAATATAAAATGCAGCATACCATATTGAGTGGTTTAGCAGATTTTGTATTAAATTTGAATTTTTTAGAGAAAGATATGTATGATGTGTCCAATTCAGTTGCACATTATTTAAAAAAAGACCAGCCAATTGAATTGCAGGTATTTAATATATTTTATTTTTAAAATTTAAGAACTGAATATTAAAAATATTATGCATGTATGATAGAATAAGTCTAAAGAATTCTACAGAAAACTGTATGAAAAACATTCCGATTTTGTATGGATTTATTTACAATCATTGATATTAGACGAATACGAGTTTAAATCTGAGCATGTACGACTTCCTACGATTAAGGTACATATATCATTATATCAATATTGTTGTATTTATTCTCATTTTACATTATCACAAATAAACATTCTATATTGATGTATAATTTTCAGGTTTGCTGTTCATCAATATTTAAAAAATCGAACATTTCAAAAAATGTATCAGAACTACTTGAACTTTTAAACATATAACATTTTTTTATTTACTGTTGTAGATATATTTTTTCTTTAATACTGGTCTGTGATAAATATTGTGTTCCATTTTTACTCAACTCATATTGTATGCTAATTTAGTATATAGGTACCTATATAATAAAATATGAATATTTTTACTATGTCCAATGCTTTTAACTTTAAGTATTTAAGTGTCAATAATAAATGATGTTTTTATTGTTTTTAAAATTTGATTTTATGTAAATGTATTATGGATAAGCTTTATGATCTACAAGTATCATTTTGTTACAATCATCCACAATTCAATACTTTTAACTATTTAGTATGTTAATATTGTGTTAAGATTATAAGTTTTTCTTTGATTTCCTTTGTACTAATTTTTATTCATACCTCAGGGATGGTATAACCATTTTTTTTAAATGTATATAATATAAAACCATTTGGGTTTACAAGATTGGTGATTGCACTACAACTAAAAAATGTACAGTACAAAGTTGTTCTTCCTAATTACTAAATCATTGTTTTTGTCAAGTTGCTGTCATAATGCAGTGTTTCCAATAAACAGGCTTGCGAGTAGCTAATAGATTTATTGCTTTTAAATGATGTAAAACAGAATATGATTTATGATTTTCTGAAAATTCCATGTTTCTATAAGTTATTCATTTGTAATTATATCGATTTTGTCAAAAAGTGGCTTTGTGTAAACATTTTTGTTTGCATCGCTACATGGTACTCCAGAAATTGCTTTAATATGGGTTAACCCTTTCACTGCTCCATACGTAATATTACTTCCCTCTATTTTATAATACGTTTGCCGTTAACCGTGCAACTTTAGGGAACTCTGTCTTGAATTATTTTAAATTTAAATAATTAGATCATGTAAATCTTAAAATTAAAATTTAGATAGAAACTTAAGATATTAAAAATATTGTATTTAATGAAGTACACACAGGTTGCAGAGCATAAATAGTGTAGCAGTAAAAAGGTTGAGTAAACCTAAATATTTTTCAATTTAGAAATTATAAATATATTTTGTTGGTATTTTTTAATTGATTATAGTCAATCACTGTGCAGAAAAATTCATAACAAATATTTATATTTTAACAGTTTTCAAGTTATGTTATAATAATAATTAATATTATATTTGTTCCATAGCCTATTTGGCCAAACAAGATATTATGCGTATAAAAGTTAATTTAATTTTAAACATCAACATAAATTATTAAATTATTATTCTAGCTTATAAAACAAGTAATAAAATATTAAACATTTTTTTTCTTCAAATTTGGTAAACAATAACCTTTTTTAAATAAGTTTAACAGTTCCGGTGCAATGACCACAACATAACTGAATATTAGATTCTAATGCTTGTGATGCTTCCATTATGGCATTACATGTTGCATCTACATTATTCATTTTTTCTCTAGGCATTTTTTGTGTCAATATCTAAAACAAAAAAATGAAATGTTGTATTAATAGACATACAATATATTATTATTATTGTTATTATTATTAAAGATATTTGTAATTGATTTAAAGTTTCACACATTTTTTTAACCAATTTAAGTATATTTTATGTAGGTAGGGAAAATCATCTCTACTTGAATGTGAATAAACCATCATATTATATTCAAAAGCTTAAAATGATAACATCTATGGACATGCATTTACATTTTTCAATTGTATTAAAACAAAAAAAATTTTGTATATATTTATAAATTATAAGGGCAACTTTCAACAGTTAAGTTTAACTGTTGAAAACAATATCTCTAAAAAAAAAAGAATAACTTTAATCTACTCATTTTTGCGGTTAGGATATCATGTTAAATACAATTTAGATAAATTATAACTATTAGCATATAGGTAGCCACTTGAAAAATTTTTTAATATTTAAATTATTCACACAAACAATTATTTATAGTGAGCATTTTCAGTTTGAAACAAATGAGTTTTAGTTGCATAATTAATTATCTGATGGCGATATTAGTATATTATTTAATTAAAACTATTTTCACACAAAAATAACTATTTTAATGTTCAATCCAGCATATAATGATAGTTTTTTTTTTATTGGCAAGAGCAATGCCAGGCAAGACAGTTAGTCTCTTGATTTTTTAAGCATGCTCATCAACCTATTTTTATGATTAAATTATGCATGTATTAAAACTCAGAATTTTGGAATTTCTAAATACACTTCAAGTCTATATTTTGAATCATTGAAATTTTTTTGAATCACTTAAGGATGATCCAATGATAATGCAATCTTCAGTTTTTCAAACACGAACCTTAATTTTTAATTACTAAGCAGATATATTTTTTTGAGAATTTAGATACATCTAAATCAAAATTCAAGCTAGTAATTGTTGAGTAATATAACTTAGCATTTTAAGTATAATATGTCTATGGGTTAAGTAGATAGGGGGATTAGACAATTTTAAAAAGTTAGCAATCAATCTTGATTTATTAATATTAATAATTTGTAAAAATTATCCAATTAGGTATAATAAATACTACATCTAACATTACATGTAGTTTTTATTTTTATAAAACCATTTTTAAAGATTATTATCTTTAGTATAAACATTTTGATTCAAATGATGCTTTAACATTTTCAAAAAAAATCAACTGCTCAATAATTTTAAGTAAAAAAGAATAAAAAAATAAAAGTTTGTATCACCACAGGATGCTCTTTCAGTAGTACAAAAGTCTTTAGGTCTACTTAAAGATTCTAAAAATCATAATTTGAATAAATGTACTATTAAAGAGAAAAATGGGGATGGGCATGCTTAAAAAATCACCTTGTATAATATAATTAAAATAAATATATATTATATAGTAAGTAATAAGTATACCATACATCTTGCTATAAATTGATTACAAATATAAAATTAGTAAAATTATTTATATAAAACTGGGTGGTTTCTTTTTTCAAACTTTACAAGCTATTTATTAATTTCAAAAGTACACTTAATGTAAAAACTTTTTTACATATTTGAGTATTTAATAAAAACAAAACACATCATTCAAAATATCTCAGAAGAAAAATGTCCAGAATACCAATTTACATAAAAAATATATAACACGGCATGTTTATGTGGTAAACATAAAAAAGTACAAAAGTCTGAAAACATTATGATTGAAAAAACAAAATTATTTAATAATTTTTAAAAATAAAATTAATTAAAATATTACTGGCAGGACTTATTCTAAAGACTAAAGAACATTTGGGCATATTTTGCGGAGTTTGAAAAATAGATGCACACTTGACAAAATGTTTTGGGTCAAAAATTAACTTTACTTAACTTAATCAAAATCATTGTCTCGTGTAAAATCATACAAACTCACAGTCTCATATAATTTATTTTCTGAACATGATTTGAACAATACTTTGCCATTAATATTTAAATATGTTAATTACCTCTAGTTAACTGTTAATTGTCATTGAACACAATTTACATTAGTACCTACCTATATTAACAATATTATTTATAAGACAGATTATTAGTTTATATTAAATAACAAATATTTTAATGTAATAATTACTTAATCATAAGTATATTGTTTTCATTGTACCAATAAAAACTATTAATACTATAAAAAATCTGAAAATATATTTAAATTTGTTTTGCTGAGATTTTTGATCTCACGTTGTGCAATTTTGAGACTAATGCTAATCTTACCTTTGATTTAATGTTTAAAAATGTGTATATATATTTAAACAATTGAATGTTTATTCAATGAAGAAAAAAAATTACTAGCGGTTGACTATAAATTGATAACATATACGAGAGCTTCTTAATTTTTAACTTTTTTTTTTAGAAAAAGCACTAGATATTAATAATTACTTCTGAAAACTTCCTAAAGAAATATCCAATAATGCTATCAAAATATTATTTCACAACATTGTACATATTTCTTATAAGGTCTTGATTTATGATATTTGTCAAATCTTTCGATACTTTATAAATAAATAACTTTTTTTTAAGGTATCTTATGCCAATAGTAATTCAATACAGTTTTTATCTTTTATTCTATTTTTTGATTATAAGTAAATAATTCAATTTTTTTCAAACAATTTGTGTATTTTTCGAATCTTTTTAACCCAATACTATTATCCTAATGTCCATTGATGTTTTGTGAAAATTTAAATTAGAAACTCATACTTGTTGAGCTTGGGATTCAGCTTGTGTCTGGTGGATAGCAGCATGTACTTGGAGATCTTGAATTTGCGAAGTTAATAAATGTTTTCTAAGTAATAATGAAATTCTGTTGATATCTTCGGCTATTATTGTACTATCTAGCAGTTTTGGTCTATTCGATACTTCAAGTTTATAGTAATTCTGCAATATCTTCAAATTCCTAAATCATAATAATTCGATTAAGATACTAAATCCTTCATACATTTTATTTTTTACTTACTCATGTGCTGATTTTAATAGATGTCTATTTTTTCGATTTTCGTCCAGTACGGTTTGTAATGAAGCTTCTAATTTATCTACTCTATCACATAGAAATGACTTCCATTTAGATAAATCTTCTATTATTAAACTATAAAAATATTTTTTAAATTAAATAAATATATAGGTATGTTTCATAAAAAGGTGATATTTTATAGTACCTGCCAGCTAAAAATTTACTCCGTAACACATCTCGTTCTCCAGCTACTGTTTCTAATTGATCTTGTCGACCAGCTAATGCTCCTGTAAAATTGAGCAATTTGTGTGCCAATAATACTTTATCCTCGGTCAGCATTTGTATTTTGGCTTCGATATCCTCACCAATAGATGCAACAAGCATACTTTTAAGTTCATTATTAACTTGTGCCTGCGAGCCCATTTGGAGATCCATATTAGCTAACTGTATGTTAAGTTTATCAATCTCTTCTTCTAAATTCTAGAATAAAATGTTAAGATATGTATTATTAATTAATAGCTGAAAATATATACTCAGTAATATTAATTTTTTTACCTGTTTTTCTTGAGTCAGCATTGTTATCACATCTTCTTTGTCTTCAGTTACATTGGATACTTTACTGCAATTAGATGCTGTTGATAGTCTTCTTTTAAATATGGCTACTGAAGGTTGACCTAACTCAGGCACTATTGAACGTACTGCTGCCTTGTACGGCTCATAGGGAACAAATTTTGGTTCTTTATCAGGTGACTTTTTAATATTTTGATATTTTTTTGGGCCTGGTGTCATTTCGTGCATAGTTTTACTAGGATGAAATTGCCTGTCATTAGGTAATACTTTATTTCCATTTAATATCTGGTTTGGTTTAACTACTTCATTCTCAGTGTTCTGTTGTGTATCCAAATCATTAGATTGCATTTGTGCATCTGAAGAAGTATTAGAATTTTCC